AAGTCAAAGCGAAATTTCTTAGGTAATGAAATATCCCTTGGGTAAACCTATGAGTCAGTGTTCTAAGGGAACCCTGAAAAGACCTCTGTCTTCTTTTTGTTTTACATCAAAGCTTTGCAGATAGCTGGAAGGATGAGTTATTAATTGCCTTTCTATGGGAGCAGATTGAATTTAGCTCACACTGTACACAGACAAACTGTGTATAATATAATTTCTCTATGCATCTGAAATATTTCTTGTAAAAATAAGAAAGTAGGCTTTTGAAATAACTCGACAGAGGATTAAATAAATGAGCTAAGCTTTTATATAAAAATGTTGTGAACAGCTGCTGAAGAGTGCACAGGCCATTGTGGTAATCTTTGTGCTTCAGCCAACCTGACCTTCCAGCCTTCAGAAGGTGTGGATTTATGAGCAGGTGCTGTGTTACCTCAACTCAGGGTTCATCTGCAGGGACAATGAACAGTTCTTGGTTGTTTGTTGAGAGCCTTGCCTGAAGAATGTAGGAAGGAAAAGCATATGATAGAAGCTACCCAATTGCTGAAGGGAGCAAAAGGAAGGTAATGGTACAGTCAGAGGTTCACAGCCATGCATCCTGCCTGACTGTTGGGGAGGTGGGGTGGGAGGGTGGGGGAGTGGGGGAGGAGTACCACCTTGAAAGATATAAACGGTGCTTAGATTACTGGCATCCTAAGAAGAAGACAGTTCAGTTCATCCTGATTACTTTGCCAAGACAGAGAGAATGGAAAAAAACTGACAGGTCAAGCAGCTGCGGGAGAAAACTGTCTTTGATGGTATTAAGAATGAAGCACTAGCTGGATGTGATGATACCTATAACCCTACCACCCATGAGTCAGAGACAGGAAGATTCTAAATTCCACGCTAGCTTAGGTTCCAAGCCAGCTTTGGGTTGTATAAGGGAGACCCTGTCTCAAAAAAATAAAAAATCAAGGGGGGGGGGAGAGCGATGGGAGGGCATGGATGGGAAGAGGAAACAAAGGAGGGGAGGCAACAATGCCAGATAAGAAATGTACTCACTACCTTGCCCATGTAATTGTAACCCCTCTGTATGGTATTTTCACAATTAAAAAAAACTTATTAATAAAAAAATCAAAACAATAAAAACCAACTAACCAAAAAGAATGCTTTGCCCTCTGCCATGTAGGAAGATGATATCCCTCTATTTTTTCTAGTCATAGTTGGGAAAACAGGTATATGCTGCCATGCCTAGTTTCTTCCCTTGAGATAGAGTCTCAGAGACTTTCCTGTTTGCACTCACCTACAACTTCAGTCTTCCCAATCTTAGCTTCCTGATTAGGATGGCAGGCATTTACCACGTGTCCAGTAACAAGTTGAAAAGGGGGTCTTGTGAACTTTTTGCCAAGGGCCTTTAACTGTGACCTTCCCTTTCTAATTATCCCAAGCAGCTAAGGTTACTATTTTTTAGCTCCCAGCTTAAAAAAAGAATTGTTCCATTCTGTAAAAATTCTGTTGTGCCAGGTGAAGGAGAGAGTAATTGTAGCAATTGCTAAAAGTTAAACTTAGGCACATTCACATTTTAATGAGTTTGAGCACTTATGACTTATGAGTTAGGCTGTGCCATACTGCAAGCATTCCATTGAGAATAGGGATCAAGGAAAATGTCTCTAGGATATCTACAGAAGTTAGAGAGAATATTTGATTGGCTAAAGTGAAAACTGTGGACATAGCTGGCAATTTCTGATTGGTAGACTCTCTAGGAAGAAGTGTGTGTGTGTGTGTGTGTGTGTGTATGCGTGCGTGCGCGTGCACACTTATTGTCATTGAGCTTGAACTCAAAGCCTGGGTGCTCCCTGAGCTCTTTAGCTCAAGACTGACAATCTACCACTTGAGGCCTGGCACCATGTTTTTTTTTTTTAATTGCACTGTTTGTGGTTTTCCTGTCCCCTTCCCCCTTTGGTTTGTTCTCTTTTGTTGCTGTTTTTGATTTCTGCCCCCTTTGACTTGTATATAAGTTTATCTGATTTGGGGAAGCACAGAAATGGTGGGACAAAGGGTGAACCAATTCAGCAGTGGAACTCACTAGACACTATGTTGGAAATGAATTGTACAGTGGGGAGGGGGGGAGAGGGGGCTTAGGAGGGAAAAACTGGGAGAAAATGAGGGAGGGGTGACACTGTCCAAAAAAAAAATGTACTCATTACCTGATTTATATTACTGCAACCCCTCTGTATGTCACCTTTATAAAAAAAAAGAATTTTCTTTTGGAAAATGGCAAGTGTTTAAGGGAAAAATACACAGCATTATCTTTTGCCATATATTCTAATTTTATAATTAAAATTAGATGTTTTAAATTACATGTTTAAAAGAAACAATACAGGCAGGACTATCATATAATCTTCGAAGAGGGAAAATTTTTCTAAGATGTTCCTTAATTCAGAAATGCTGAGTGGTAGTTTTAATTAAATAAATGTAAGTGTTGAGAAGAGTTTTATATTTAAAGCTAAAGGTAAAGGAGCAAGGGCATGCTTATTAACAGTGCTTTTCAAAACCCCTGTGTTTTTAGCCCTTGAATACTAGTGATGAGGGGAAAGGGGGACTGTCTTTTCAATCCCTGTATAGGAACAGAGCCCAGTCCCTACTTTGTTGATGGGAGTGACTTGTCTGTTCTCTCAGGAGAGAGATTTTTTTTTTTAATGTTAGAAAATTAGCCTTCCAGCTGGGTTTACCTTGGAAGTTTCCCTCCCTCTCACCATACCACACACAGTCACCCTAAGAAGCTTGGCTTTCCTCTGTGGAAATATAAAATTCAGAGAACTTGATATGTACAAGATAAGATAAATGCTAAATGTAAAATATTACAGAGCATTAGAAAGCCTGAAAGGTGTGACTGGGAACATTTTAGTCCCTTCCCCTTCCCCTTTCTTTCCT